TAATTCACGGACATGGGGGCGCTGCAAGACTGGGTGGTGGGAGGGCCAGTGTAGCAGCACCTGCTGAGACTCCTGGTAGGAAAATGAACTCTGGGTTCTTGCTCTGTCACTATTGGGCCGGTTTGGTTCAAGAGACTCCCTCAGCCTCAGTTTCCCACCTGGGGGATGCCCACTCTGCCAGCTTCTCCATTTTGTCCCCTGGGGCCTGGCATCCGGCAGGCCCTTGGCTCCTTGCAAGGCCTCACTGAGCACCCCATGGCCTTCCCATGCGGGGTGCTAGTGGCAGGGCCCTGCTGAGGAGGGGGTGGGGAGGTGGCCCCACCCTCAGTGAGGGAGCCAGAGGAAAAAGACAAAAGAACACTTCCCAAGCAGCCTGCTTGCAAATTAATGGAGCGCAAACTCGAACTGCTCCAAGTGCTGAGGGAATGCACAGCAGTGGGGATAGGAGCTGTTCGTTGTGTGTGGGGCTGGGGCCCAGCTCGCTTCGCCTGTGGCCTCAGTTTCTCCTCTCTGCGAGGAGCCCTCTGACCTGCGTGAAGTCCTGGGTTTCCTACTAGGAGAGAGTGGGCCCCAGGATGTCCAGGTGTCCCCGGCTCTGAGACCGAAGGAAAGGTGTCTGAAGTCAGAAGCAGAGGAGCCTCAGCTCCCAGCCCACAGCGCGGGCCTCCCTCTGAGGGTGCCCACTCCCCAGCACACATCCTCTCACCTGGCACAGCCTCACTGCTGAGGAGGAGGCTGGTTTTAGACCCCAGGCTGGGAGATTGGGTGATCGGGTCCCTCCTCTACAGTCTCCCTAACTCCCAGGCAAGTGCGGGGCTCTCTGCCCTCAGCCCCTCACCCCTGCCCCTGGAGTTCACCCCTCACCCCAGCCTGGGTTTCAGCTGGGTCTGGGGTTCAGCTCACACCCTCCATGGTGGTTCCTGAGGCCGCTCCTGCCTCCTTCATTCCTTGGGATCCGGGTCTTTCCTTTCTCCCAGTCAGTCGCACATCTCTCCATCTGCATATTTTAATTCCCCCAGCTGCCTTTCCCATCCCTCCCTGCCATTTCCCACCTCTCCTCCCCTCCCCCTGTCCTGCTGTGTTCACTCCAGTGCCTGCGCTGGGCTGGGACTTCTACGGAGGCTCCCCCTTGGCTGTAGTCTCAGGCCTGCCTCCTTCCTGGACTTTCTGAGTCCCCTTCCCCGTGGGGACTTCAGCCAGCCACCCTGAGAGAGAAGCCAGCGTCACGGCCCCACATAGAAGGGGGTCTGTCTGGAGTTCCCAAAGATGAGTTCATGGCCTGCCCCTCACCTGCCACCTGCTTTCTCCCTGACACCTTCCTTGCCCTCAGCGACCCCTGGGAATGAGGTCCTGCCTGCTTTCCAAAGCCTCGCAGAGCCGGGCTCCAGGTCTGTGTGCAAGTCTGGAGGGTGAGCCCTGTATCCCACCCCCTTGTCCTGCTGGAGAAGTTGATCCTCATTAACAAGGTCTCAGGGCCCATCTCAGCCTTTCTCCTGGCCCCTCCATGACTCCTGTGGAAGCCCAGGAGGCCTGGGGCCGAGTCCATGGCTGGTGGGAGGCTGGCGTGGAGGAGAGGGAGAGCATGGGGCCACTGGACCGAGGCCAAGGGGAGGTCACATGGGCTTGAGTTTGATTCAGGCACTTTTGTCCTGCAACTCTTGATGCTGTGGAAACTCCCTCTCCAGCAACTCAATTCGGGCTTAATTCAACAGCTGGACAGATCTTGAGGTCTGGGCTGGTGGGAAGGGCTGCAGTATCCCCGCTTTTTCCTGCACATACGAGGGCAATAACAACGCACAATTACTCAGCACTGACTGTCCAGGCCTTTCACTTGCATAGAGTGGACAAGTCACTGGATCTTACTGGTCCCTTAGCAGGAACATCCTGGACCAGGGTTTCTCAGAAGTGACTGGGACCGATCACCTGTTTTAGACTCATGAAGGTTGTTTGAAATGCAGGTACCCGGGTGCTGTACCAACTGAATCAGGATTTCATGGGGAAGGGGCTCTTAGGTGTCTGCATTTTCAACCAGATGCCTAGACACCAAGTTTGAGAACTGCTGCTCCCTAGTAGCTGTCTGCCCCAGGCCAAGTGCTCCTGGGATTCTTGTCCCAGCAGGTGAAGGTGGTGTGGGGTTTACCCGCCCCCCACCGAGGCCCTGCCCCCAGGAGGGCCTCTTACCTGCCAGTGGCCACAGGCAGTCCTGCTCCGGAGGGGAGGGGCCGGGGCAAGAGCCCGGATTATATCGTCTTCATGCCAGGAGCCAGTCACAGGCCAGTGGAAGCTGACACAGTGACTGAGGTCAGACTTAGCCCACCCAGCATCCCCTGGCAAATGGTCCAGTCATCCACCCTGCTGGCGCACCCTACCCTAGACCTCCCCAAGCAGATGCTCAGGGTCTTCACCATACAATACGGTGGACAACCCAGCGAAGGAATATCTGCCAGTTGGTATGCCCCCAATCTGTCTGGACAGCCCTTTTGTCTGGAGCTGGGGGACCCGGGGCCTGGAGGGAGGTTTTTCATACCCCTCTCCACCCCGGGAATCCCATCTTCGAAGCTTGTCCTGGAGAGTGGGTGTCAGCTGTGACATGCAGGCGATGAAACGTGGGTCCTGAAGGCGGGAGCCAGGAGCAGCAGGGGTGGCAGCACTTGCAGGGAGTCAGGAGTCCAGGCAGCAGCCAGCTGGCCTCCAGCAGATCTAGCCTTGGCCTTGGGCAAGTCACTGCCCATCTCTGTGGCTCTTGGATTGAAGTTGATGAAATAGTCAGTGGGGTATGTTCTGTTCCCACACACAGAAGGGGGTCATCCCCTCCCGGCTGTGTGTATGTGTGTGTGTGTGTGTGTGTACACGTGTATGCATATATGTGGGTATGTGTGAGTACATGTGTGCATGTGTGTGAGTGTGTATACATGTATGTGTATATATGTGTGTAAAAGGCTCTGATGGACAACACAGTGAAGTTATATGTGTGCATGTGTGGGTATGTGTGCACATGTATGTGCCTGTGTGTATGTGGTCTGACTCCTCCCTTGCACTTGGCACCTACTCTGGTTTGTTTGCTATTTCATCATGTGCTACCTTCAAAGGTGATCTTACCCTCCTGTGTGTCTCTCCAGGCACAGGGGCGACAGCCTCCTCTGTTGTGTCCCCCACATGTTTGCACAGGGCTGGACACATGGTGGGGTGTGGGAAGGGCCCCCACAAGTGCTCATATATGATTTATGGGTGAGAGTTCAACCAGCAATGTCCTTCAGGGCAGGGCTTGGGGGCAGGGTGCGCTTGGGGAAGACCCAAAGACAGAGTTCCACCTCAGCCATTTAGCCACGGGCTGGCACTGGCCCGGAACCATGCTGCCCTGGTCCTGCATTCTGATGGGACCCAGTGTGGTGACCCGGGGCTGCTCACCCCATCTCAGCTCTCACAGCTGGTCTCCTCCTCTCCCCACAGGACGGCTCTCCTGCAGGCGCGTCCCCGGCTGCTTCTCCCAGTGCAAAGCCTCGTGTGCCTGGCAGCCTTCGGCCTAGCCCTGCCTCTGGCCATCAGCCTCTTCCCACAGATGTCAGAGGTCAGTGAGGGGAGGGGCTAAAGGGCAGGACAGGAGGATGTAGTTAGGCCATTAATTAACAAATCCTTATTCAGCGCTGACGCCCTCACACTGGGCTAGGTGCTGGGGTTAGAACCATGAATGAGACAGACATCTCTGAGCTCAGGGTGAAGCAGTGAACACAACAATGAAACAGGGAATAGAAAATGAAGGATGAGGAGTGTTAGGGTAGGACCAACTGAGCTGGATGTGGGAGGAGATAGTGGGGAGCCCCAACAGAGCCTTGAAGGAAGTGGCATTTTCTGGGCCCTAAAGGAAGGGTTAGAGTTGGCTGGGCGCACAGTGGGCGATGGGACACACAGGCTGAGGTCACCTGGGGTGAAGGCAGCACATAGCATGTTCAAGAGCTGAGCAAAGTCTGCAGCTGGAGCAGAGAGTGGAGCAAGATGAGGTGGGTCAGGTGCAAACTTGGGAGCCAACACAGAGGGTCATTGTCATCAGAAGGAAGGGCTGAGCAAAGTAGGACCACAGATGCTGATTTTGAACGGTCCCCACGGCTGCATGGCGAGGCTGGGTTGGAGCTCTGGGGGAGAAGCAGCCATCAGGAGGCTGTGGCGGGCGTCCAGCGAGAGATGGCGGCGGCTTGGACCAGGCTGTTGGCAGTGGGCATCGAGAGAAGCGGGTCCTTTCCGAGAGCGTTAGGAGGCAGCTTCGTGAGAATTGAGGAGCCGCATGTGGTGGGAGGGAACGGGAGCTGCAGGATGTGTGCCCGGCTTTCTGGTTTCGAACAACCAGGCAGATGTAGATACCACGTGATGAGATGGAGGCACGAGGCGGGACCGGTTTGAGGGAGGACAGCGTGTTGCAGTGGATGGACACGTGGGGTTGGAGGAGCCTGGGGGAGTTGGCGCTGGGTCTGGGAGACAGAAGTAGGGCCACCAACATAAGAGACAGTAACGGAATCGAGGGGGTAGTGGGATCCGCCAGTGAGCCTGTGGAGAAAGGAGGTGCTTGGGTAGGGGTGGGGACTAAGGATGAGTGACCAGGGAGGCAGGGACAAAGCCAAGTGGAAGTCGGGGCTGGTGGGCCGATCACAGAGTCAGATGCTCTGAGAGGTGATGCTCCGGGAGGTTGAAGCATGTCTGAGTGTCTCGGGCAGTGAAGGCAAACCCTGACCCAAGGGGCAGGTCCAGCTGAGGGGTGAGGAACCAGGTGGCAGGGCGGAATGCTTGGCGTCACGGGAAAAAAGAGAAACAGACCCACAGCTGGAACGAGGTGTGGGATCAAGAAAAGCTTTTATTTATTTCCCCCTTTTTATTTTTTAAAACTTTTTAGTTGAATTTATTGGGGTGACATTGGTTAGTAAAATTACATAGGCTTCAGGTGTACAATTCTATAATACATCATCTGTAGATCGTACTGTGTGTTCACCACCCCAAGTCAAGTCTCCTTCCATCAGCATTAATCTCCCCTTTACCCTCTTCTGCCTCCCTCACCCCCCTTTCCCTCTGGCAATCGCCATACTGTTGTCTGTGTCTATGCGCACCCCTATGTTATTTACAATAGCCAAGATTTGGAAGCACCTAAGTGTCCATAGTAAAATGAGCGGATAAAAGAGCTATGCCACATGTACACAATGGAATACCACTCGGCCATCAAAAAGAGGGACATCTTACCTTTGCAACAGCATGGATAGACCTGGAGAGCATTATGCCAAGTGACATAAGCCAGCCAGAGAAAGACAAGTACCATATGATTTCACTCACGTGTGGGATTTAATACACAAAATAAGCTAACAAACAACATAGAAACAGATTCATAGATGTTTCCCCTTTTATAAACGGGAGGAAGTGGCACTTGTATATGCAACAGGAACGCACCAAGAGAGAAGTGGAGAAAGAGGACGGAAAGCAAAGTCTATGAAGTGGGGGATGGGGGTTCAAGGGTCACTTTGACAGGGAGAAAGCCCTCCCACCTCAGCAGGGGAGGCAGATGCAGTCGGGGTGGGGTTCAGGGGTGGAGAGGTTAAGGAAGCTGTTCTGATAGCTTCTGGTCTGTATTCTCATGTCTGAGCAGAGAGGGAGCAAGAGGGTGGGGAAAGGGAAGGTCAGAAGTGTGAGGACTGTGGAGAAGCTTCTAGGCGTTCAGAGAGTGAGTGGGAGAGACAGCTGACCAAGGAAGTCAGAGAGCCTGATGGCAGTGCAGGTGGGGGGGGGTGTCAGCAGAGGGGAAGCTGAGGGGGGACACAGGCCTATGGCTGTGGGCAGGGCCTGTCCACCCAGAGGTGCCAGGGGCCAGCTCCAGGCACCACAGGGCTCTCTCAGAGGGTTTCATCCGGCTGGGTGGGGCCTGAGGGAGGTTGGTGAGAGGTCGGGAGAAGCGGTGGGCCCTGGTATCTCAGCGGGTGGAGGGGAAGGTGGGCAAGCAAGCTGATGGGAAAGCAAGGTGGGAGGCGGTCAAGAGTGGACGGGGAGTGTGGAGTCACTGAGCTCAGGCAGATGGAGGCTGTGGCTGGAGATGGGCACTTCTGAAGCTGCTGTTGCAGGACTCACCCTGCTCTATCCTCCAGAAACGGTGAGAGGGTATTGGTTCCCAGAGGGAAGTCGGGGAAGGTGAAAATTAGGGCCCTGGTGTTAGAAATGGCCTGTGCAGACTGGGACCCAGGGTCTTAGAGCAGGAGTTGGTGACCCAGCCTGTAGGCCCTGCAGTCCTAGGGGGGTGAGAACTGAGGCCCCAGAGTTTTAAAAGGAAGCTATGAGGTGATGGGGCTCCTATCTTGGGGGCCAGCCCACACCGGATGGCAAGCCTAGTGTGTGATCTGTGCCAGCAGGGCCCAGCCTTGTCATGAAGCCAGGGACACCCCTCCCGTCTCCTTTCCCCCTCCCCCCCACTGGAAGCTGCACAGCTATTACCTGATGCTTGGGGCCTCCACATGGAGCTCAGGGGTGCAGGTTGTCTGGAAGGTCTAAAGATGGAGGGAGGGCACTTCTCGGAGGCCGTGGCATCCCCCTCCTGGAGGACTGGGCCGGGCCGGGCAGTCCCCGAAGCCGCTGCATCTCTCTGTATAGTTGGGCTGAGTCTGCGGTTCTAGACGAGGGTTCACCACTGTGGTCAGTTGTTTCAAGCAGCGCTCACCAGCCCCCTGTCTGCACCGGGGAGGGACCCAGGGCCGACAAACCCAAGGTACAGGATCCGAGACTGTGCCTGTGGAAAGGACTTTAAAGGTCCTGGTTTACCATCCTGCTGACTCTGCTGGGGGCAGGAGGCCCAGAGCAGCCCCGGGACCAGCCCACAGTCACAGAAGTCAGAGCTGACATGGAGGAAACCCCAGAGGCCACTCCCAGGCCAGAGCTCCCAGGAAGGGCTGCACCTGCTTGTCCTGTGGGCTTTCCTCTCCTCGCTCAACCACCCGACCTACCTGCGAGCAGTGAGAGAGGCGGAGCCGCGGGCTGCCCTGCAGTGGGGAAGCATCAGGAGCGCTGTGGGTCCTGATGGGTGTTCCTCTGGGGCAGGTAAGGGGGAGATGGCAGGAGACGGTCTCAGTGAGCAGCGCTGGCCTCTCAGAGGTTCCATGTCCGGGCGCAGGCTCCTCTCGCAGGCCTGGCAGACTCAAATAGGCAGAATTCTCTGGGTGTCTCATTGCAACCCAGGCTTCTTTCTCTAGACTGGGAAGAGTGTAGTCATTGCACAATAAGGTTGTTCCCTGGGAAAGCGGGGTAGGGATGTGATTTTTCAGCGCCCCCTCCTCACCTGAATCAACCCCAACAGAATGCAGGTAGGCCTGGGCATTATGGGGTGTTTTGAGACCTGTCTGTGACCGACAGCACCAAGGCCATCAGCCAGTTGGCTGAGAGGACCTTGTCCCCCCTCCCCCTCATTCATCTTCCCAATTAATTCTCTCTAACAAGGCGCTGCTTCTGCCATGGGGGGATCATGTCTCACATCCCAGAAGCCAGTGGGATTTGCCACAATAAGTCTGGACTTGCTTGGGCTGACCCAACCTTGCCAAGAGCCACCAAGGTTGTCAACAGGAGTAATCGCTGGAACACTAATGAATTAATTAGGGAACTTGGAAATTGCACTTAGGAGCTGTTCCTAGCCTGGCTGGCCTTGGTGTGTGGTGTTTGGCACGAGGCTTTCAACCCTCTAACCCCAGAGGCTGAGAGAAGAACTTCCATCACCGGGCGAGAGTCTTGTCTGGCCTTTTCAAATCAGTATTTCTGCCTATTGAAATGGTGCTAAATTTTTAAATAAAAATAGCAAATAATAGTAATAGCTACCGTTTACTAATCATCTACCATGCCAGGCAGCATGCCGGGAAGCTCTGCATGTCTTGCTGTGTTCCGTCTCCCTAATGCCCTTGAAGGATGTTACCTAGACAGTTAGATGTGTACATCTCGGGCTCTGGGGAGAGATGTTGGCTGGAGACACGGAACTTTAGGTGCCTGGGGGGAACTGAAGTTGAGGAAGGGGTGAGGTCACTGTGTGGGGGGAGAAAAGGCATCCAGAGCAGCCAGGGGCAGAGGGAGAATCTCTATGGGGTGGCTTCATTGATGCTGAGGACAAGGGTATGTCAAGGAAGAGGGCGCTCTCTGCAAGTGAGCTGCTGCAGAAGGGACTAGAAGCCGACGAGACTTGGAAGCTGGGTGATGTAGCTAGACAAGGCGGTGTAGGAGGCAAAATGGTAGTCAAGTTTCTCTGTTTAGAGAAGTTGGCTCAGGGATGAGAAACCACTGGAGAACAGCAAAGGAAGTTTTATTCACTGGGTGTTCAGTTGAGGGTTGGGAGCCTGGAGAGAGGACAATGATGGGGTGCCGGGGTCCAGTACATAGAGGAGTCTGGTTGGCTGTGGTGGGGAAGTAGGGGTCCAGAATGTGACAGTCCTATGAGGTCGGTACCATTGGCTTACAAATGACGAAACTGAGGCGTCCCAAGGTTAAGTTCCTTGTCCAAGGTCCAAAGTTGGTAGTGATGGAGTGAGCTCTGGACCCACAGGATTCTGTTACCCTCCCCTGCCCACC